GTAGGGTATTGGTGGCTCAGAAACAGGGGTGCACAAACAGGAAGCTAAGTGTAGTGGGAGCAACAACGCAGAAAGCAATGGGCCAACTTTGGCAACAACACTGAGTGCCATTATTGAAGGCATATGTCAGAAACTGTCAGGCCCTTTAAAGCTTCTCAAAATTCCCAAATCCATGACAGACTTGCAGCACACTTCTTATTATACAGAAGAGGAAACAGATCAGAGAGAATGTGGAAGTTACCCAAGATCACCCAGCTGTTAAATAGCAGAAACAGAATTCAAAAGCAGATCCAAACCAGTGGTGATGGTGCACATGTTTAGTTCCAGCAACATGTACCAAGATACACAGACATGTTGGGGTTTTTTGTTTGTTTTTTCTGTCCTGCTTTTCTTTTCTTCCTTCCTTCCTTTATTATTATTATTATTATTATTATTATTATTATTATTATTATTATTATTATTATTATTATTATTATTATTATTATTATTATTATTATTATTATTATTATTATTATTATTATTATTATTATTATTATTATTATTATTATTATTATTATTATTATTATTATTATTATTATTATTATTATTATTATTATTATTATTATTATTATTATTATTATTATTATTATTATTATTATTATTTTTGGTGATGCCAGGGATTGAACTCAAGGCCATGCATACTAGCAAGCTCTCTATAATTGAGCTGTATCTCTAGGCCAACAACTTTCCATTTGAACTGTGTTTGAAAACTCACAGGATATTGAAGCATAAGCAGGGCCAAGGTATAGCCTCCATCATACCTGGTCACCCACTGAATAAGGTGGGTTTTTTGTTTGTTTGTTTTTGCTCTTTTGAGATAGTGTTTTTCTGTGTAACTCTGGTTAGCCTGGAACTCAGAGGTTGGCCTGCCCCTGCCTCTTGAGTGCTGGGAATGAAGGTGTGCACCACCACCAGGCCTAAAGTGTTTTTAATGTCCCATTAGAACTTAATCCTGGTAGACTTGCCATATTTGGGAGTCCACAGATAGTCAGTACTGCAGAATTCCAGATTACAGGCAAAATGTGCAAAGATCAGGAAGTAAAAGGAAAGCAAGTAAGTTAATTTGGTACATTGTTTCAGATACAGTAACAAATACATAACTTATACAAGTTAGTAAGCAGAAATCCAAACTGCAGTGATTCTGCAACTGGGCCTTATGATCTTAGTAGGCCCTAAGACCTTAGTACAACTGACTGACTCCACGATGGAAGTGCCATTAAGGCTGTAAAACTCCACCTGCCAAAACTAAAACAAAAGCCTAATCCAAATCCATAGCTCTGAGGCAGTTTCTAAATGTACTAACCTTGCTTTTTAGCTTTTATAGTTCTGCTTGGTTAGATGTTATGTTAACTGGAGTGGGTCAAATCATGACAGGATTTTTGTGCTTATAAGCTCACCCTGAGAAAGGCTTAGGGCTACACTGGGATCCCGAACACTCAGTTGGTTGCTGGCTGGCTAATAAAGTTTTTCTATTGGCTTTTAACCTATGTCTGAACACTCTTCTCTGGTGAACGCCCCACAACAATTCTGCTCATTAAGTTCTTTTCTTTTTTCAAGACAGTTTCCTGGAACTCACTCTGTAGACCAGATTGGCCTTGACTCATTGATATCTGCCTGCCTCTGCCTCCCAAGTGCTGGGATTAAAGGCCTAGAAGCTCATTAAGGTTTTTTTATTTTTTTATTTTTGGTTTTTTGAGACAGGGTTTCTCTGTGTAGCTTGTGCTGGCCTCCAACTCACAGAGATTCGCCTGCCTCTGCCTCCAGAGTGTTAGGATAAAGAGTGAGGTGAACCTTGGCAGGTTTCATGGCGGGCGAGGTTGACCGAGGCCAAGGGACAAACATTCCAGGCAGACAGCTTAAATGAAGTTTTATTAGGAAGAGGCAGGCCAGCATAATGCCTGATCCTTACACCCAGTGCTGGGATTAAGGGCATGAGTCACCACCGCCTGGCAGTACACAACATAAAGATGGTAAAACTTGTATTAATAATTCTAAATTTTCCTTACTTATGGGGAAAACATAGTCTAGGCTGGCCTGGCAATCCTCCTTCAGACTCTCCAGTTCTGCGATTTGCCACAGTTCTCAGCTATTTGTCACTTTCGTTTTGAACAGGACCCTGCAATTTAAGTTTGCACTGGTCCTGAATGTGACAGTCTGAGATGCCTGTCTTAGAGCTTACAGCGAATGCACTGGCTGCTTGCAAGTACAGCAAGACCTTACTTTTAAGGCGTGTCCAATCATAAATGATAACAACTGTTGACTAAGGGCAAGCAGATCTGCTGGCTTGCTTGTCATACAATACAAAGGTGCAGCATGGAAAATAACTCAAAGCAGCTCACTACTGAAAAGAAAGTACTGTAGGGCTAAAAACTGTTTAGCCCTACACTGTTGAGTCAACTCAGGATCTGAAGGAGGAAGCCCATGCCTGCTGGAAGCTAACTCCTGAAGGGTGGGGTGCCCAAAGCACCTGGCACCCTTCCTCTGAGGGGGAACTCCGCACACAGTGGGCTCGGCCCCACAACATGCGGACGCTCACCTGACCCGCAGTGTCTTCACGCCTGCAGGAATGCCTTCTTCCCTTCACCTACCCAAGTTCAACGTCCTGCTCCCTTCCGCCAGCTCAAAGCCTAGGGGCGAGCCCGGTACCGCCTCTCGCGGAGGCCCCGCCCACTCCACAGTCCACGCACATAGCCACGCCTAGCACGTAGCCGCGCTCTCGTACCCACCCGCCGCTAAGAGCTCACGCGAGATCTCGGCCTGCCCTAGTCGGCTGCTGCGAGCTGGAACGTTCTTTTGGTCGCGGTGGAGGAGGGAGACGGGTGTGTTTGCGTTGGGCGCTCGGGTCTGGCGCGATCGGTCGGTGCGGGACTCGGAGACCGCGCGCGGGCCCGGGCTCTTTGGGCGGCTGTCCGCGCGCAGTCGGCGCTGTTGTCGGGTGAGGCGCAGCGGGCCACGCGTGG